CCTCGGTATATCCATGGTGTGGACAATCTCTTTGGTATTCCCTAAATCTTTCCCAAGTATCTAAAAAATCTTCATCTTCTTTTTGTTTATAAGTTCTTATCTTGTTCCTTAAGATATTTGATCGATTTCTAGTGTAAAAACGATTTAGGAAAGCAGTTCTACACGCTGCCCACGTTTTTAGTGAAGCAGGTGGCAAAGATTTTAGCCATTTGCTGGCATTATCTCTAAGAGAGAATGGGAAAAGACTACACTTGTGGTAATTCCCATTTGCTGTAGTGGTTGCACATAATTCTTCGAACGTCTCGATATGGTCTATCGGGTTTTTGAATGAATAACCAGAGAATTGATTTTATTGAACTAAATGGATATGGGGTACCTTAATTTCGGTTTTTCCATCCTCTGGTAAGGCTGGTTGAATAGCTCTTCGATCTCCCATGAACTTCTCGAGTGAATCGAAACTTCCAATCAGTTCATCACCATCTTCACATTTTGTCGATTCGATCAGTTCATTGTCATCATAGATCGGTTCTTCAAACTCATCATTAGTCAGGTCATCATCGCTTGAATCACTATCCACACGATTTGGTGGATCACCAAGAGTCCCGGGAACATGTTCCCGGTCTATCATTGCAGAGAAACCTGAAAAATTCAAAAGAAAAAGTAAAAGTGAACAAGTGTTCTAATGGATTTAAGCTGGGATTCGCAACGAAACAAATCAAAGTCCCCGGCGACGGTGCCAAAAACTTAATGCGATTGTAAACAGGGTATTGGTGCTTTCGTTTTACTAAGTTTCAGGTTTTAAATTTATAACCCCTAAATGTCTGCAAGTGCACAGATGTGCACTGTAGTACTTAGGGTATCGATCCACAGAGACTTAGTTGTTTCAGTACAAATTCACGGCAATGCTTAAATCAGATTAGAACTAAACAGGTTTGGGTTTTGGTTTTGGGTTTTGGTTGTGGGTTTTGGTTGTCACTAAATTTAAACTAGAAAGCAAAGAAAAAAAAAGCAATTGAAGGCAATTAAAACAAGTAAAAAGCGATTAAACCAAGGCTAATGAAAGCAGGTAATAAGCGAATAAATCAAAGACAAATTGAAAGCAGGAAAAATCGAATAAGAAGCAAAGGTTGTAAGCAATGAAAGACAAACGTTGGGGCTCAAGGGGTTTCGCATGGGTTCATGGACCAAGCTATGTCGATTTTAAGCATATGATAAAGGTAATCAACTACGTATGTTCTAGAACTCGAGGCATGGAAGTATGAATAGCCTACTTTCGCAGCACTAAACAACTATCTCTCGCAACCCTGATCAGTAGGTTTCCACTCTGATCCTGGAAGGGAGAAGATGCAACAGCAGAACAAGACTCATCAACATTCACAACTCAACTACAGGTAGGTTTCCACTCCTATAGAAGAATTGCTCGTTTCACCCTAGTTCAGACAATCAATGAAAGCTTTCGCAACATATCATATCAGATCGGCTTCTAAGTGGCCAGCAAAGAATCACACAGTAAGATAAAAGGCAAACAAAGAACATCTAGAAGATTATAAATCCTAAATCTATCGATTCATAAGCAAAGACACATGAAATTCCCTTTGAACAATCCCTTTAAACCCAACTGGGTAACTACTTAAACATATTGTAACAAAGCATCATAAACGAAATTGAAAGTGCAGGAAATTAAAGAAAACAGGGAAGAAGAACGAAGAACGGAATCGCAGATGGAGGCGCGATGATGCTCTCCTCGGCGGCTCCTAGGGTTTGTGAAGCACACGAACTCTCTCTCTCTCTCTCTAAGTGTTTCGTTTTATTCTTCTCTGCCTCTTTAGAATGACCTAAGAGGGTATTTATAGCTTCTGGGGTGGTCCTGGACACTTAGGGCTTCAAAAATAACGAAAGGAATTGATTTGGGCTTTAATTAAGTCGTCTGGAAAGTGAACGACCAAGTTCCGCGGTCGCGGTGGCTCTACCCGCGGGAAAACAGGTGTTGGCCGCGGTCCCGACACATGGCTCTCTTCTGGAACTGTATTTTCTGTCATTCTTGCATCGGGAGTATCTGAAGATCTAACCGTTGGATTGTCTCCAAACAAAGTGCATTAGAAAGCTGGTTCCTCTATGTTGTCTCAAAGTTTGGGGGTGATCAGACGGTGAGAAGGTCTTCATCGCTTGTCATACTTCTGACGGTCTGCATTTATCCAAAATTGCTCATTTGTTCCAAATTGCATATCTTTTGCCCAAGTTTCCTGTAAAGTCTTTTGAAACTCTAAAACATTGAAAACACTTTAAAAACTATTGAAAACAGAGTTAAAACACATGTATAAGATACAATTATGATCCATAAAAGTGGTCAAAATACGGTGTTATCATGTATATAGCCACCTACACAATTAGAAAAATTTAACTTTTTATATAAAATTACCATTTCAACTCCCTATTTTTTTTTGTTAAATTTTTGGAAATTTCTTACTCTCTTTTTCTTCTTTAACAACCACATAATCAAAAGCTATTTATCAATTGTTAAGTTTTTTTTAATTATAATTTTGTTTTATCTAATATCAGATTTATAGTTTGATTTGTGATTTGTTACTCTGATTTTTATTTATTTTGTTTAGGATGATGATTGTTATTACTAGTTTATATGAATTTGAAACGAAAATATCATTATTTTATTTTATATAAATGAGATTGGTTTTATATGAATATGAGACGAAGATGATTAATTGGAACTTTTAACACAAAACAGGTTAGTTAGGGGTCTTTTTTTAACTCCGCTTACGGGCTTTATATCTCTGGGCACGGCTCTGGGAGTAAACTAGACTGAGCCGAGATGAGCCTTAGAAAGGCCAAAGAAGTGTTCTGAGTTGGGAAGAGCAGCCACTCTAGGAAATGAGGCCATGTACTGAAACCTATGAAAGGACAAAGGAGCTTTCTCGCCAACCAGCCTCATAGTTCATGACTGTAATGACATCTTAGAAAAAGATGATTCTTGTTTTCACCGTAAAATTGGCAGAGAAAACATATATCATCTTTAACAATTCCCCAGGAGAAAAGCCGAGAGAGAGTGGGAAGCCTGTTCCAACAACAAAGCCACATAGTGAAATAGTGACGAGGGACAGAACCTTTGAACCAAACTTGTCGATGGCATTGAACCTCCTCCTTCTCGGGTCTGATCATAAGCCAAGTATCACCAAAACTGAAGAATTCTTTTTGCTCTCCTTGACTTGTATCCCAAAGAAAAAGATCAGGTTTATTTTGAGTGATGTGGACTGTAGTGAGGAAAGATAAAAACTGCTCTGCATTATTACTTCTTGCACCACTGAAAATCCAACCATCGCTTGTAGTTGCTTGAGCTACTTTAGAGTCCAGAGGGAGACCAAGCAGCCGATGAGCACCTGCTCCAAGGAAAGAGTACAACTGCCTAAAGGGAGTCCAGCAATCATACCAAAAAGACAGGTCTTACCATCACCAATTTCACAAGTTAGAAGAGAATTTTCTGTAGGTCGTAGCTTCAATAGTTGTTTCCACATTGATGAACCACTGCTCCTTGAAGATAATTCCCAAAAACCTTTCCTCCTTGAAGATACCAAAAAGAGCAGGTTCATATTGTTCTTTGTTCTTATACCATGATTAAAGGAGCAAAATAACATGAACATGAAATCATTCTCATACTAATTAAGTAGAGTCTATAGTCATGGAAGATTAGGTGTCCAACGTGGGCAGTAAAGGGAGAGGCACCTCCAGGCTTTTCTGTGTTGATTGGTTTGAGAAAACCTGCAAAGGAAAATAAATGTCAATTTATTGGTATTCTAACATGTCCAATTTACTAAAAATAAACTTTTGAGTTACGCTTATGTGTCTAATTTACTTAATTAAAACAAACCAACACTTAATTAAAACAAACCAACAAACCGTTAAATTATACACTATGCATGTAAAACACTCCATTTACCGAATCAAATGTAAACACTTTCCCAACATTCACAAAGATATGATTCAATTAGAAAAAACAATACGTATATTAGAGAAAAACTAACATAAAATGCACAAAAGAGTATATGATAATTGAATATATGAGGTAGAGTTTCTAAACTCCCATCTAACAACATTACACCATTGGTTAAATTTCAAAGGCAAGACAAGATGCACCCTTATCCACTTACTATAGTAAATAAGGGTACATCACTATCGCACTAGTTGAATGAATTGCAATCGAAAACTGCCAAGTCAGATTTAATATAATTTAGTTAATGATGTTTTAAAGTATATAATAGTAAAAACAACGTAAAAATTTTATTTTATCAGTTATTTTTTAATTCAAATATTGACAAATTAGGCGTTCAAAATCTGTACACATATTTGTATTTGTTGTTATGGTTAATATTGTTGTTATGTGGTAATATTAATTCGATCATGATTAAAAGAATTTCGTTTGAAACTTAACATATGAAAAATCAGTTTATCTTTAAGTATATGTCAAGAGTTACTAAACTCTCTATGCTCTTTGCCTATCAGGAGTTACAACACATATAATTTTGACAAAAACAAACATTTTAAGTATATATTGGCCTATATTCCTTTGTCAGAATGCATGACACAAATTTACTTCTTTAGCTTTGTAAAATTTTTGTTTGCCCTTGGCTCAAAATTGCATTTGTAAACATTGACTGCATACCTATTTATCTCTGGAAATCAAAGGCTTTATTTTCAGATACCATCATGCGATGTATTTCTCATTTTCCTGACTAGTTTCACACAATTATATTGCTAAAATTTGTTTAGTTTTTTTGGCATACGTCTTAACATAGATCATTGCATTTTGTCTCTAATCTGATTTGAATAAAGATAATCATATCCTTTCACTGTATAGAAGATTAGGAAAATTAAGAAATAAGTTAATATAAATTGGTTGAGGTGGCCCATTGGGCTTGTTGAGCGTCTTTAAGCCCATCAATTTCGATATGCTTCGCCTCTGCTCGAATTAGAATATTACAGATCCTCGGATCAAAGCATCGACTTCTCTTTTCTCAATCCAATCTCCGACGAAAGATCTCTGATCAAAACCCTAGCCCTAATTCCCCAAATCCGATTCTTTTCCTTTTGATTGATTGATTCCTCAAAGCAGCGAAGATGGTTTTAGGGGAGCTTGGCGGGCGGATTACCCGCGCCTTGCAGCAGATGAGCAATGTGACAATTATCGATGAGAAGGCTCTGAATGAATGCCTGAACGAGATCACACGAGCTCTTCTCCAGTCCGATGTTTCTTTCGCTCTTGTGAGGGAGATGCAGAGCAATATCAAGAAGATCGTTAATCTCGAGGAGCTAGCTGCCGGCCACAACAAGCGACGGATCATTGAGCAGGTTTGATTCGTGATCGAATTTCTTGGAATTTGATGAAATATGGCTAATTCGTCCATTGAATTGCTCCTGATTCTCTCGTATTGTTTATCTCAGGCTATCTTTACTGAACTCTGTAAGATGTTGGATCCAGGAAAGCCTGCCTTTGCCCCCAAAAAGGCAAAAGCAAGTGTAGTTATGTTCGTCGGATTACAAGGTTAGGTTTTTGTAAGTTGTTCTTGGTGGTTGATGTTTCTAATGTGTAGATTTAGATTGTATGCGTGATTCAACATCCAACGTTTGTTGACTATGTTTAGGTGCTGGAAAAACCACAACGTGTACCAAGTATGCTTATTATCATCAGAAGAAAGGATACAAACCAGCTCTAGTGTGCGCTGATACTTTCAGGGCCGGTGCTTTCGATCAGCTGAAACAGAATGCCACCAAGGCTAGGATCCCCTTTTATGGAAGGTACTCAAAGCAAACCCCTTTGCCATGAAATGACGTCTTATTCTTTGTTTGAAGATTTATCTCTTAGTGTCAGCTTTCTTCTTGCATGGTCGTAAGACCTTTGGTGCTTATATATCCAATAGAATAGTAGCTTATATACAGAGTGTGTGAATTTTCTTTGTGACGGTAGAGGCAAGGTACAAACTTTATAAACTTTTTTGGTTTAGACTCTGAGTCTGAGGTTTGGTTAACGCCAGTGCAAAAATCTGCACTGAAGAGGATTACGGTTACTTAATATGTTTCTTTCTCCATCATCCAGTAGGTTTCGTCATACTTCTCCAGTTCTCTACGAGCCCTTTTGTCTGTTTTCTTGCTCTCTGTTTTTTAAGTTCATTACATAGTGCCACTCCGTCAAAGGATCGCACATCTTTGTCAAAGAGTTCAACAGTGTGCATAAATGGACCTTTTGAGGTTTTGGATTATATTTAGTTTTTTTTTGGATTTACTTCAATGACAGTAACAGAGGATAGTGAAAGAGAAATAGAAGATATTCCTGATTAACCTATTCTCGAGGTCGTATTGTGATAGCAAACTGGCTTGGTTGTGATTGTTTGCAGCTACACGGAATCCGATCCTGTGAAAATTGCTGTTGAGGGAGTTGATAGGTTCAAGAAAGAAAACTGTGATCTTATTATTGTTGACACCAGTGGTCGCCATAAACAAGAAGCTACACTCTTTGAAGAAATGCGTCAAGTTGCTGAAGCAACGGTATGATCTGTTGTCTTGAAGTCTTATGTTTGTTCCTGGTTGATGTTGCAGGTTCTGATCATTATCTGTTCATTTTGCAGAAACCAGATCTCGTTATATTTGTTATGGACAGCAGTATTGGTCAAGCTGCATTTGATCAAGCTCAAGCATTTAAGCAGAGTGTTGCTGTGGGAGCTGTCATTATCACTAAGATGGACGGTCATGCCAAGGGTGGTGGTGCTCTTAGCGCGTAATTATCTTTTACCGATTCTCGTTTTATGTAGTCGAAATAGTCAATATGAAAATCTTTCGGGCTTTCCGAGAAATTGAATGTGATCCATTTTTCATCTTATCAGTGTTGCAGCTACAAAAAGTCCTGTGATATTCATCGGAACAGGAGAGCATATGGATGAGTTCGAACTGTTTGATGTCAAACCATTTGTCAGCCGTCTCTTAGGTAACTTTCATGGCATTGATTGAAGACTAGTAGAATTATGAGGAGTAATCGAAGTCTCCCAATGGGCTGTTTGTTGACTAAATAGTCTGTTTATATATACGACAGGAATGGGTGATTGGTCTGGATTCGTGGATAAACTACAAGAGGTGGTGCCTAAAGATCAACAGCCTGAACTTCTAGAAAAGCTCTCTCAGGGTAACTTTACATTGAGAATTATGTACGACCAGTTCCAGAACATACTGAACATGGGACCACTTCAGGAGGTCAGTATCTCTCTTGTCAAATATCATCTAGGCTTAAGAGCGCGAGTCGCTTGATGATATAACAACATGACGTGTTGGTGTGTGTGTGTGTGTAGGTTTTTTCAAGGCTGCCTGGAATGCGTGATGAAATGATGCCGAAAGGACATGAGAAAGAAAGCCAGGCGAAGATAAAGCGGTACATGACAATGATGGATTCTATGACTAACGAAGGTGAGAAGAATAGAATCTCTTATTTGGAGAAACAGTGTAGAGTTAAAGGTCATAAATAATAGCTTTGAGCAACAATGGTGATAATATGAGTGTTTTAAACTGGTGCAGAACTGGATAGCTCGAACGTAAAGCTGTTTAATGAGTCAAGGGTGATGCGGATAGCGAGAGGGTCAGGGAGGCTTGTAAGAGAAGTGATGGACATGCTGGAAGAGTACAAGAAGCTAGCAAAGATGTGGGGTAACATGAAGGGGCTAAAGATCCCAAAGAATGGAGACATGAGCGCACTGACGAGAAACATGAACGCGCAGCACATGAGCAAGGTCCTTCCTCCTCATATGCTCAAGCAGATGGGCGGCATGGGCGGTCTGCAGAGCCTCATGAAGCAGATGGGTTCGGGCAAGGACCTCATGGGAATGTTCGGTGGCAGAGACAAGTAGTTTCTTTCGCCTCTTTCTTTCTTTCTCGCACAAGCTTAAACTACACCTTTTGCTCTTTGTCGTTATTAGTTTTTTCTCTTCTTTTTTTTTGGTGTAAAAATATACTTTTGATTTCTCATTTCACCCAAAAAATCTTACCAATGTTCTCCATTCGTGCTTCCCATTTAACTCTTTTTTGGCATATTATTCTTGGAAGAGAGTGAGTGATTAGATCGGTAATTACATGTTGAATAGTAAGAAAAATCATTTTATACGAAAAGAATTTGGGGGAACAAAACTGTTTCAGCTTTGAACAGATCCTCTCAATCTCATTGAATCGATAATTAATAATACAATAAAGAAGAAAAGAACGTAGAAGAAACAATAAAAGAATGAATTAAGGAATCACTTTCTGACTTTGACCAAAATTTTTTTTTGGTCGAATGACCAAAATCTGTGACCCCTTTCTCTCTCTTTAACTCCCACGAAGCAATCAGCTCCAAGAGATTCAGTCTTCAAGGGTCGTTAATCTTTATATTTTTCTATTGTTATGCTGCAAAAAACCTGCAATAATCCATTTCACTCAACCTGCAAATTAAGTAAACAAAATTCAGACATAAGAGGATGATATTGTGTTAAAGAGAGAAAACAGAAATGAAGTGAGTTTACTTGCTGTCTAAAGAGGAAGAAGAGCAAGATTTCATTCCATATATCAGGAACTCCAGGTAGACACCAATGACTACAATCAGGTACCAACGGGTTATCGCTCCATAAACCGACATGACCATCGCTTCTAAACGCTGACATCGAAGTTACATCCAATATTGATACCGGAACTGTCATGTTTTTAACTACTTCTTTGATCATTTCAGTGAATATGCTTCTGTCTCTCCCTTTAGTGTCCGGGGCTGGATACTTTGTCACATTGCATGATCTATGATCACTAAACAGCAACAACAAATACAAGGAACTCAGATTTAACGACGAACTAAAGAAAAAGAGGAGAACAATAAAAGGTTAAAGCTATAAGGAATCTCGGTTTGTACCTCCAATGCGATGGCTCAAATGTACGAAACAAAACACGGGTTTTGTCTGGATCAATTGTACTCTCTATCCATGATGACCATGTCTCTAATGCTAATCTATACGCTGCAGGAATCGACATTCCAAGCCTCAACGAGTTTCCAACCTGAAAGTAACAACCACTGATGTTCCCAAACACAATAAGAAACAGTAGAATATACAAGAGTTTGCTAAAAAAACATTCTAAAAATAGTTTTCAAGAACAGCTTACGTTTCGAAAAGCTTCCCAGGCACCCACCATTGACCAGTGTTGAATATGAGAAAATCAGCCGAGCTCCATTCGTGGTTAATCACATCTAAAACGTCTAGTTTCAATGTCGACTTCACACGTTTCGGCGCGTGCCAACGCAACCTCCCAGGCTGAACCAAGAAAACCGACCTGTAGAACTCGACTGTGAAATTAAAGGAACTAAACCTCACACCCAAAAAACGTATCCTTTTCGTTATATTGTTCCCATTGACTTCATAAACACTCCTCTTATCTTCCAAACCCGTCATTAACATACATATCAAAGACTCCCATTGCGTTCTGCTCATCGAATCTCCCACGAAAACTATCCTTTTATCTCTTAACCTCTCCAACACATCACGCACTTGGAATCTCGGGACATTACAGTGCTTAGGCTTCCACCTCCACTTCAAATACTCCTCGTGTCCACGCCCATTCCCTAAGCAGTTGAATCCTTTCTCAACAAAAGGACATTCCGAAGCGTTGTACAATGGATAGTTATCATCAACGACCCAGTTCCCATCGAATATGTCACATTCTTTATCATCCGTAACAGAGCTGTTAAACTGCAATGCTCCATTATAACCCAGGAAAGCCTGACCGAGGCTAGGAACAACATATAAATAACCACCAGCGATGATAATAAGAAACGAGACGATTGTTCCGGCGAGGATAAGCACCTGAAACAGATACGAGATCTCTTTTAACCGGTTTGTTGTAGAGGGGCGTGGACTTCCTCCAAAGTTGTGTGTTGTTCTCGGGCTTGTGAAAGCTGAGCCAATGGGACTATTGAAGGCGCTTGAAGAGGAGCTCCTAGGGCTTTCTATAGCTAATGAAGTCAATGCTCTTCTATTGAATGATGAGCTCTTTGTGAAACTAGCCATTGTTGTTTCTTAATGATTCAACCGCATCTCCAGCGTTTTGAAATCACAAGATGGGTTCAGGGCAAATCTAGTTAGTTACCATATAAGATCTATTTTCATTAGCTCCTTATGTTTCCACTTCCATTAAAACCCATCATGCAAAAGAAGAAGCTTTTAATAACAATACACAGAGATGATCCAATCTCTAGCTGTAACCTAGCAGTTGCTGTGATTTTCGAGGCAAATACAACATTTTGCCGCGAACCCAGAGATGAACAGATTGAATCACCAAAAGGGTATCGTTCAAATCCGAGGAAAAGCCAACCGAATCGGAAGAGAAGAGGAAGAAGGGATAAAATCCAGAATCAATACCGTGAAAAAGTAGGCGAAAGATTTACAATTTGAGCACGATGAGCAGAGACTTGGATGTTCTTGTAATGCGTAGAAATCGAGACGCGTTTGATTGAGATCGGAGATCAGGAAGAAAGAGAGAAAGAGAGAGATCGGCGAGGAAAGAGGATACTGTCCGGTGCCGATGTCTGCTCAGTTATTTTTAATTTATAAATCAGTTGGATGCGTCCAGAATTTGGAAATAGCGTAAAGGCCAATTTGGTCAATTCAGATGCAAGAAATAAAAAAAAATGGAAATTTGTCTTTTAAGAGTGTTCTGGTCCTTGATCGTTGTCTATGTTGTTGCATACTTGCATCCATTAAGCATCGTTTATATGTTTAAGTGCTATAAAATTAAATCCAAATAAATTAACCATCGAACAAATCATTTCATTATGGTTAATCGGATAATGTACTATTTTCTGTTAGTGAACAGACACATAAAATTTGGTGAGATAGTTAAATGCTATTAATTAATTTGATCATCTAATGATGGGATGGGACACATATTCATAAATTTTGTAATCTGTCTTTTTTTTTTTTTTCCTGTTTTGGGTATGAATGTTAAATTAATATACTTGTCCTATATTCACGTATAAGTAGAACTGAAATTCTGGTACTTGTAACCGTATATCGACAAATGAAAAGTGTTGACAACTGCAATTAGTATTTTAATCCGTGCCTGATAAAACATGTATAGTATCACTGCAAAAATAAACCGTAACAGGTCCTCCTCCAAGCTGACAAAAGACTATTAGTTGGAGCTCCCGCTTTCTCTCTGGAGTAGGGAAACAGGTCCTTCTCCAAGCCGTTCTCACAGCAATGCTGGCGTATACTATGTGCTGTTTCAAGCTCTCTGCTTTCCTTTGTAAGCAAATCCATTCTGCCCTTACCAGATTTTGGTGGGACACTAAAGCTGACCAAAGGAAGATGTGTTGGGTTGCTTGGGAGAAGTGCCACAGAGTGCAGAAGATGATGAAAGATTTCTATGTATTGCCATTGATTGGAGACATACAATATATACACATGAGTTATGATCTTAGTTTCCTATTACAAACAGATATGATTGCGCTATTAACGTAATTGACAGATATGTAAACGGCATCTGTGTGATTGACTAACTCACGACATTAATATCGCTAACATCCCTCCTCAAGTTGGAACATGGAGGTCTGTAGTGCCCAACTTGGGAACAAAGAAGTTTAATTCCTTAATGCCAAGTGGTTTGGTGAAGATGTCGGCGAGCTGCTGCTTGGTGGAGACATAGGTAATAGCTATGGTGCCGTTGAGAATTTCATCACGGATGAAGTGACAGTCGTTGTTAACATGTTTTGTACGCTAATGCTGAACTGGGTTTGTAGCCAAAGCAATCGCTGATGTGCTGTCAGAATAGACCATCATCGGTTCGGAATGTTGAATGCCCAGGTCCCTCAGTATTCGTTTAATCCATAAGAGTTCCTGAGTAAAGTCAGCCATTGCCCTATATTCAGCCTCGGCGGAAGAACAACTGACTGTTTTCTGCTTTGTCGTCTTCCATGATATGGGTGATTTGCCCATTTGAACGAAATATTCAGTAACTGAGTGACTCGTAAGAGGACATGTTGCCCAATCGGAATCGCACCACCCATATATCTTGAAATCAGTTTCAGCTTTAAGAAGAATACCTTGACCCGGATTGTTCTTCAAGTATCAGACGACTCGGAGAGCTGCTGACCAATGTTCGTGGCGCGGTTGCTGCATAAACTGAGCTAAAGTATGAACAAAGAATGCCAAATCAGGTCTGGTCACCTTGAGATAGACCAATCTACCAACCAAGCGACGATAAGGTTCAGGATCCATAAGTAATGAAAATGTGGATAACACCAGTTTGTGATTCTGATACAACGGAAATGGTGAAGGTTTCGCCCCAAGCAGACCAGTATCAGCGATGATATCTAACGCGTATTTTTGTTGGCATAAGTAGAATCCTTTCGAGCTTCGTGCAACTTCAATGCCAAGAAAATATTTCAAACACCCCAGATCTTTCATATGAAAACATAGAGACAGATATGTTTTGAATTCCGAGATTACCTCCTCTGTATTTCCTGTGATAATAAGATCATCGACGTATACCAGAATTGTCAAATATCTCCCATCCTTGTTGATTGTGAACAAAGCATAATCAGCTCTAGACTGCGTAAACCCATATTTAATCAAAGCCTTTGACAATTTTCCGAACCAGCATCTCGGAGCTTGTTTTAAACCATAATTTTCGGAGATGGCAAACCTGACCCGGAGACGTGGCTTTAAAACCTTGTGGAAGCTTCATATAAACTTCCTCATCAAGTTCACCGTGTAAGAACGCGTTGTGGACGTCCATTTGATGGACTTGCCATCCACGGCCAAAAGCAAGCTGAAGAAACAAACGAATAGTACCCATCTTTGCAACCGGTGCAAATGTATCGCCATAATCTTCGCCTTCGATTTGTCGATTACCCAGAGCAACCAATCTCACCTTATAACGTTCTACTGTGCCGTCAGACCGAAATTTCACCTTGTATACCCATTTATTCCCAATTGCTTTCTTCCCTGGAGGTAAGATGGTAATATCCCAAATGTGATTGAGCTCGTGTGCTCCAACCCCAGAGTCCATGGCTTTCGTCCAGACATCCCTTTTAATCGCCTGTTTGTAGGATGTGGGTTCAACTTCAAGCGTAATAGCCGCTTGAAATGCTTTGTGGGTAGCTGAAAATCGATCAAGGCTCAATATTCAGACAAACAAAAAAATTGTTAAATTTTCATATGTATGTTTAGGATTTTTTATTTCGGGAAACGAGACAGGATAACACGAAAAATAAATTCAAACCAGGAACTCTTAAAATTTGACAACTCTAATGATCGTTTTGAACACAGCAATGAGTTACACCATAGCGGCTCACTTTGTTACGGTTTTTATTTTTTTGATCAAACAATCATTATATTAAGAAAGAAAGCTTACACTCCTAATAAGGAAACATCCATGGCTAATTCAGGGGAGCAATGCGATGGGGGAGAAGAGCTGACGAGGTGTTGGATTTGAGCCGACGCCCATTCTTTGACCTCCTGAACTGACTTGCTGATTATCTCTCTAGGCAAGATCATGCGATCTTCAAACAACAGACCATTCCGAGCCTTCCACAAATTTCATAAAATCCAAGGGCAGAGAAGAGCATCAGAAATACCTGTGGGTGGCAACGTTGTGGCTGTACAACAGTTCTTAAGCAGGTATTTCACAGAGGTAGAAGAGGTAATCGACGATACATTGGCTACAGGGGCCAAATCCCACACCTGAGCAGCAAAAGGACATGACAGAAGGAGATGTAGTTCATCCTCCTTATCCCCACAGCGCTTACAGGTAGCAGAGGTCAAACCACGCTTGGAGAGGTTCTCTCCCACCGAGAACGCTCCACTTGTGGACTTCCAAAGAAAAGTCTGAAGCTTTGGCGACGTGCAAAGGTGGCTTAGGGCCTGAACCGAGTTTAGGGTCTGAACCGAGATTTCCAAGAGAAGTCGTCTTCAGGGGGCTTAGGGCCTGAACCGAGTTTCCCAAAAGCATACCCGGATCTCGACGAGTATTAACCTGAGGACTTTGGCAGCCAGATCCAACTATCTTTTGTTGGGGTCGAGCAAATATAAATCTTCTGAATCAGGTCTTCAGACAGAGGCAGATATCGTCGGATAAGTTGTAGGTCCCAAGTTTTGGTGGCCAAGCAGATGAGGTCGCATACTCTGAGGGAGCCATTTTCCAAAGAAGGAGGACTCATGGGGGTTTTAGGCTGCTCTAAAGATAACCATGGATCCTGCCAGACCCAAGCATCACACCCATCACCAATGGAGAGAGATAAACCCATCCTGAGAATCTCCAAACCTAGGAGAATACCCTTCCAACCATGAGAGGAGGAGGCAGGTGCTTTCCGACAATCCAGCAAGGAGGAGCTGTGAAAATATTTTCCTTTCAATACCCGACATAAAAGGGAGTCGGGGTTTTGAATCATCCTCAACTCAATATTGGCAAGCAAGGCATCATTAAAAGCTTGTATGCCACGAAACCCAAGTCCACCAACCGATTTAGGGAGGGTAAGATTCTTGTTAGCGATATTAATGTCGTGAGTTAGTCAATCACACAGATGCCGTTTACATATCTGTCAATTACGTTAATAGCGTAATCATATCTGTTTGTAATTAATAGGAACTAAGATCACAACTCATGTGTATATATTGTATGTCTCCAATCAATGACAATACACAGAAATCTTTCATCATCTTCTGCACTCTGTGGCATAGTATCAGAGCCAGAATTTTTTTAAAAGCACAACACAAACAAAACACCAAAACGACTCGATCGATTTACGATGGCAACCTCGACCGCAACGACAACCGAACGAACCCAATACCGGAGAACCATCTCTCCATTCGACTTGACGGCAGCTGACAATCACGGTGCAGTGATCTCCAGACCGCTACTCAACGGACGAAACTACGACGACTGGGCGTGCGCACTCAAAACAGCGCTATGCTCGCGAAAAAAATTTGGTTTTCTCACCGGAACCATAACAAAACCGGCGGTGGATTCTCCTGACTTTGAAGATTGGGAACCTGTTAATGCTCTTCTTGTGTCATGGATTAAGATGACGATGGAACCGTCTCTTCTTCCTAATATTTCACATAGAGAGCTTGCTAAAGACTTGTGGGATCATCTAAAGAAGAGATTTTCTGTCACAAGTGGCCCGAAGAATTAACAGATCAAAGCAGATCTTGCAAACTGTAAACAGCAAGGCACATCGGTGGAGGACTATTTCGGTAAACTCACGAAAATCTGGGATAGTGTCGCTAATTACCGTCCGATACGCCGTTGTACCTGTGGAAAATGCGTGTGTGATCTCCCCAATCTGTTGGAGAAGGATCGTGAAGAAGATCAAGTCCAGCAATTCCTTTACGGGCTTGATGACCGGGTGTTTAATACCATTCGATCCACTTTAACAGCAAGAGTTCCATTGCCGACTCTGGAGGAAGCCTATAATCTCGTCAAACAGGAGGAGGATCTCAACCACAACAAAAACATTCGTGAAGAGAAAGCTGAAGTCATGGCGTTTGCTGCTAACAC